TGAAATGAGATGACATGATTGGTATTTTCTATGATTTGAAAATATGTTCAATGAATACAATTATGTCATGTTATATGTTTTCCATGCCACATTCGGCGAAGGTCACTTCTAGAACCTATGGGTCTAAGTGCCACATCGGATGAAGGCCACTTATGTATATACCGCTCATTTTCAATGAAATATATTTATGTAATATATGAAAGGGATAATTGCAGAAACCTCCCCTGAGGTTTCTGACAATTGCTATCACCTTTCCTAAGGTTTGGAAAATAGCACTAATCTCCCCTGAACTTAAGATTTTGATAGCAACTTCAGCCCATGTTAGAGAAAGTGCCATTAAAAATGTCTTTTGGGAAGTGAGATAATAATTTTGTTCCATTTATACCTTTTTACCTCGGTAGTATTAGTAAAAGAATGAAAAACATTATGAGATGGAAACAATTAGTGAAACTCAGATGATACATGTGCAAAGAGAACAACGATAGTAGTAAAATTTGAAAGAAACAACAAACATATGTTCAGAAATATGAGGTTCTAAAACATATAAAGAGACTGTTAATCAAACAAGAATATTCACCTTTGATCCGTATAAGAGAGTTTTTTTTTGTCATACTTTATAGTATATCGATTTCACACTATTTACTATATTTCATACATAGCTATGTTCTCTCATGATCGACATAGCAATTTCATCATACTATAACTAACACCTGAACTTTGTGTATTAAGTTGAGATGATAAAGGATTACTTACCTATCATCTTTTGATTGTCACAGATTTTTAATAGAAAAATTTTCAGATTTTGCCTTGATTTCTGCTTTCTTTCTCCTTTTGTTTCATGAATGCATAAGAAAAATAAACTCAATCAAAACCACTAAAACTTATTCTTTTATGAAGTCTTACCTAGATGTTTATTTCTCCTACATTTTATTGCTTCTACTTCTCTTCTATGTAGAAAATATATGATTTACATTGTTCTCTCAAGTATTGTCCATTACAAAATGGCACCATCTTGGAGCATCAAAATGACACCATTTTATAAGTGCATTTATAGTGCCTAATAAAACAAAAAATAACCGTTAATTTTGTTTAATTAGTTATATTAGACTTGTTTACTGCCCTAATTTTTTTTTTGCCCCAAATTTGTTCACTAACAATCTTAAACTCTTAGGGTATAGGAGTAAATTTATCCTATCTTATGCCAACTATAGGCCCTAAATTCACGATAGGGGAGGTTAATGCTATTTTCCAAACCTCAAGGGAGGTGAGTGCAACCATCAGAAACCTCAAGGGAGGTTTATGCAATTATCCCTATATGAAATGATCCAAATGTTTTTATTTGATGTATGCATGTGGTATGGTGTGACCGAATTTGTAAATGTATATAGTATGTATATAGTTACATGATCCGACAAAGGAATAAGTACTATCTATGGGGCGTACATCACTCAACCAATGTCTCTTTATTTTTTTTCTTACAAATCAAGAAAGATAGATCATGTATGTTTAGAAGACAAGTGAGAAAGGTAAATAGACATATGTTTAAATTCTAGGAAGATTGAGTAAAGTATTTTTGTAGATGTATTTAGTGAAATGTATGTATTTAGTTTTAAATTTTTATAAGTTATCATCACAATATCGTGTATTCGTGGGAGTGAGATGTCACAGGTACGGCGTGCCACGTTGCAAATCTAATCTAGGAATCTGGATTTGTGGTGTGACACAAACTATAAGCAATACCAAAATGCTTGGAAATATTTGGTTTTTAACACATTCGAGTATGCATATTGGTTCTTGAATGGCAAGAAGAACATGAGACTTCTACATTTGAGAATTTATCCAATTGCTGTCAGTTTTGTAGTTTATGATCCATAATGGAAAAGATAATATTTTTTATGTACTGTAGCATCACTGCTGGTTTAATTCTGGTGGTTTGTAAGAGGGATCTCGAACTAAGAGAGTTTAAAGCTCAGCTTCAAGTGTTAATACGTTCTTTTGGATCAATTTGTTCATGAATAACTCCAAGCAAATCGGTGTTGAATTTTATTTTAATCACAACTTGAAGATTGCTTAGACATGATTCACGTTCATATCACTTTGAGGATCCGTCCTTTTGTTTAGAATTTGCTTGGGTTCTAGTCTGCAAAAGTTTTGCTTGTCAAGGTTTGGCATGTTGTTCTTGTCTTTAAATTACAGGCTACGGCCCATCATGCTGGGAAGCAAGTAAGAATTCCGGCGAAGTAACAGAGAGAGAGAGAGAGAGTTTTGTTAAAATGTTGGGATACTATTAATTTTTGAATTAATCTTTCCTGCACTGACAGTGTATACACTATCAGCGTTGGATGAATAACAACTATGCAAAATTTGAATTTAAAATTCAACTTTTACACACATGTCATGAATCCAACGCTGATAGTGTATACACCATCAGTGTAAGAAAAATTTACTCTTAATTTTTACCATTGAAGGATAAGTTAGGTACTTGATACAAAATTGCTCTGACAAGAAAATATTTGTTCTGGCAATTTCACCACCCAAAACTGATGGGGGTCCCCAAACTCCCACTATAAGAGACGGCTTAATAACATTTAGAGTTGACAACGATGACATGAGGTTAGTGACTCTAGGGTGCGAGGTATATAAAACCTGAGCTCAAGTTGCAATGCAATGATTAAATTTAATGTGTAAAATGTACGAAAGATAACCTAAAGATACAAAGGCAGAATCATCACCCAAATTGGATAATGCATCATCGCAAGATGTGAGGAGGGATGAAATTTGAGAGAGAGAGAGAGAGAGAGAGCCCTAGATCTCTAGGTCTTGGGGTATCAGTCTTGCCCACTAGACCAAGGTTATCTCAACAAATCAGTTTGGATTATCGCACATATTTGTCATGCTAGCTTGTACAATTTGAATAACTTCTTTTTTTTTCTTCGATTTCTTTTTACTGCTCCTTTTCTCTGAATCCCTTCTTCTTTGAGAGGAAGACCACTATGGTCTCGCTGGTCTTCCTCCCATAGGTTTCGTTTTTGTTATTTTCCTAATAAAGTCTTCTTTAAATTTTTTTTAGTGGGAGATCTCTGTTTCTCCTAAAATTTCTAGTGAGAATTTCTACTTTTCTAGAAGTTCCTAGTGAGATTTTGTGTTATTTTTCCTTGTTTTATTGTTTAAATTTGAATTTACTTCAAATCTGATTGTCAGATCTGAATTTATTTCAGATTTGGATCTATTTTGACAGATCTCATCATCTTTATTAGAGTTTACAACTGTTGATCAGCAGATCTGACGATTATAACATGCACAAAGTAGGCTGCATCGATTTATTCTACGAGTAGATGATTTTAAAATTTATGGTACTTTTTAGATCTGTTCTTAATTTCTCAAGTTTTTTGTATCTGTTAAATTATAGATCTACAAGTTTAATGCATATTTTATCTGCCATTAGGAGAGTGATGTATATCAATCGTGCTGGACGATTTCTAGCAATCCATTAATGAAATATGTTTTGTTATTAAAAAAAAAGCTTGTAAAATTTGATTTTCAAAAAAAAAAAAAAAGAATTAGCTGAGAAGAGATGTGATTTAAAAAGTGAAGAGGAATAAGAAGAATTGGAACCCAAGACTTCCAAACATAGAGTCTTAACTTTAACTACCATATTAAGGCTACCATATTAAGGCCTCTTAGACAAATGAGGTAGCAAGTCCTTAAATAGTAAGTTTATTGCATGAGGCTAATGCTCATCTAGAGATCATTAGCAATACACTCATCCTACCTTAACCTTAGCCAAAGTATATGCATCCTAAATTTGTAATCTCCACCATAAAGAAAAATAAATCTTGCCAGTAATTTTAAATTTTTTTTTTTTTGAATTTCGTTTCATGCCATCTTCTTGACAAGCAAAGTGTATAAATAAAAAATGAAGAAAAGAAACGAATGATAAGAAGCAATTTTAATGAAATATCTAATCATGCTTCTTATTTCCTAATAGAATTGTTTCTCCACCTTCACTTTTTTTTACCATCCAATTTCACTACCATTACATACAAAAATGATGTGAATCCATATCATGCCTTTATTTCAAGTTGGTTTTGTTGGACGTTGCATTGTCCTCTCCAAACTAATTTTGGGTTTTTAGTTTTTTTATAAAAAAGAAATTACTTCCTGTAGTCTTTCTAATTACTAAATTTCTGATTGTATTTTTTTAGTAGTACTTTATTGAAATAAATTTTAATCAACATACTAGAACTTTGAGTTAGTACAAAGTTACAATATAGTAACTTTTGACTAAAGCATAAACTAATAATGAGTATATTTGGATAGGAGATTATTTGAAATATTATTTAGAATAATCACTGTAATATTTTTGTTATGTAATGTATATGAGATAAAAAAATCGTTAAAAAGATAACAAGCAAATTAGAAATTTTTATTTTAAAATTAAATGGTGAAATATAGAGTATTGAAATTTATGTTTATTAGATTGATTTGCTTAGCGTGTGCAATCTTATTTATTTCGTTTACTTTTTTGAATTTGTGTGAGACCAAAATTCGATATTCTCGTCACTTTTTTCACCGCTTCAATAATTTATTATGAAATGTCCATTAGCCAGCCTCCATCGGAATTAAACCTGAATCATCACTGGTTTCAAATCTACATTCTCTCAGAAAAATCTGAGATGGTTACATGCTCTGAATATGCAACCAAATCTACAAAAGAAACAACGAAAACAGAAGGCCATGGCCTATCAAGATATGTATAGTACTCGGAGGCATAAACCGCTCAAAAAAATAGTTTAAGAATTGCCCATCGCATACTAAAATAGTTTAAAAATTGCCCCTTTCATATGAATTTGATAAGTTCTTGGAAATCTCAAAAATGCTCCAAAAAAATACTCTAAACTATCAATAATCTATCACTCACCCTGCTTATTGATTTCATGATCAGAATTCGAAATAAACTAAAAAACTAAGGCGGTCAAAAAGCGAAATAGCAGGAAAACTTTGATAGTAATTGCAAATTTAATTCTTCTTTAAGTGCAAGGGATGTCATAAGCGTTAAATCAAGAACTTTTCTAAATTCCAGGAAATACATTTACAGCATCAATTAAGAATTTTTTCTTTGTTCCAGAAAATACATTTAAAACAGCACCAACAACTATTGCTGGCAAGCTTCTTGATCAACAAAAGAAAGCCCACTCCACCATATAGTTCATGACAGCGATGCACAAAAAATACTTTGCCAACAACCAAACATCTGAAATAAAAAAAATGGCTATGTTTCCCAGGCTCTATGTTTCCGAGTCTCACAGGCTCCAACAAAGTCCAGAATATATGATGAATAACTACAGAGTTCAGACCTGCTCAAAACATTTTAGGAAAATCCAAGTTATTACATCACCAGTAGGTGAAAACATAAATAACTATTGAAAAATTCAGACAATAATACCAGTATCCTAAGAGACACATAGGAAGAGAAAGGTAGTACCTACCTACCTACCTAGTTACCTACTGCATTTGAGAAGCAAGCATTTGAAAGCTAATAAAGTTCCAATAGCCAAAAGCTAAAGTTCATCTCTTCAACTTCCTGCCTTTTCCCAATTGACCAAATTTAAAAGCAGCTCTTGTTCATAAATGAAAGCCCTTGCTTTACCAATCTTCTCAAATCCTTGATCAAGTTTCCCTTTTTCCGCCTAGCCTAATCACCAATGAAAATTTAACCATATAGAACCCAGAAATATTTTCCAAATTGAAAATGTATTATGAACCACAAGGTCACACATTATCATCGTTTCCTCATCCACCTCTGAGTAACATAATCCCCTTTCCCCTTTCCCCTTTCCCCTTTCCCCTTTCATCCACTTCTATCCAATAAATAACTCATTCTTCACATTCTCTTTGAGTAATTCATAACAACTCATTAATTAAAGCAATCTTCACCTAAGCAATTAATTTTTTGCAATTATTGTAATCATATTAACACATTCATGGACATCAACGTACATGACCAAGAAATATAATACACATTTATTATGAATTTTTCATGTACAAAAGTACACCTGGTTAAGGGTCTCCAAAAGATCAGTAAAAGGGGGAAAAAAAGATAAAGAACACAAGTGTATCAACAAGAGAAAAGGTCCCCCAACTTCCAGAAGTTCAAACAAATGTAAAATAGTTTTTTCCAAACAATTTTATTTTACAAAATCACTTCCACTAATTTCAAGCAACATAAAACTGCTCTGCTCATTGTAATTGAACTAGAGTTTGTATATATGGATTAAAAAACTTGAAGGCTGATATTTTATATACAAATTGAACATGTATCAATCTATTAGTTTAATTTGAAAAAGGGTAGGAAGAACCTGCAAAGTTATGAATAACTATACCTTTCCCTTATATTTTTGACATCCAAGAGTTGCTTAAACTGTTGTCAGTTAGAAAAATTACATCAAAGCACCAGCCTGTACTGCCTGCAAGAGCACAATCATACATTGTTCGGTTAATCGGCCCCACGCTATCTTAATCTGACATTTACATAATACAGAAGTATTTTTTGAAATTTCCATAGTTACTACCAACCAAATAATGACAAAAGAAACAAGCACAGCAAATTATATCAGCAAAACCTACATGCAAAAGCACAAAATCCTAACTAAAGAAGAAAGTCTTAAAAAGCCAAAAAGATTAAAACAATGGAGAAAACAAAATGGGTTTCGACAAAAAAGTAACAGCATTCTTTGACCCCAGTGGCATTCTTTGAACTAAAAAAAGAGGGGGTGCATATTATTTCTCAATTTTATACCACTATCAATTGGCAAGAAATAATTTGAAGAACAAGAAGGAAACTAAATCAATTATTTTACCTCCAAAGTAGAAAAGTTGATAGAGATAGATGGCAAAAATCCACTAAGGTTTATAGGAGGCATGGGAAGGATATGTCAAATGCCCAAGCATTGATTTGGCATGCTTTTGATGACTAGGAACCAACTTGGGAGTTGGTTTGAATTCTATGGAGTTTATCTTCTGATTTTTGCCGGCAGGCGTACTTTAGAAATTTGAATTAGCTGCAGGAATTTTATGTTTATGGTAATTTTCTGTTTAGTAGTTATTTTTTGGTAATTAGTATTTTAGTTGTTATAGGGAATACAAAAGTTTAGCCTTCTAGCTCTCTACTAGAATTCTACTCTAGTTAGGAGTCCTAATTAGGTTTGGAATGAGCTTTGTTCTAAGGTCTATAAATGACCACTTCTCCACAAACAGGTGTCAGTTTTTTGGTAATTAATAAAATTTTCCTGCAGACTTAGCGTCTTCCTTAGGGCTGTGTGATACATCCCAACTTTAGGTGTAAGGTCTAAAGATTCCTAGGAGTGATTCTTAGAATTACCAATCAGTTTTCACCTTCTTAAGCATATTCTGCCATCCTATTCCAAGTTGCTATTATAAGTTCGGTGACATTCAATATCTAAGCTTTTCCACAAAGCTGGTGTGCCTACCAAGTTTTGTGTTGTGTCAGTTTTGGTATCAGAGCAAGGCTTTCCCATGACGACAAGAACTGGGTTAAATTTTAGGGGTCGATACACAGACAAGGAACAGGATAACATCATTAATCTTCTCTTAGAGAGGTTTGCAGTGTTAGAAGACAAAATTTTTAATACTGAGCAACAGCAAATTCCTGAATCTAGAGGCAACGGTGAGTCTGGATCTCGGGTCAAAAACAATGGAAAGGAACTAGAGCATCTCAAACAGCCTGAACACACAATTGGGAATCAATCTGGTAGGAGTGAAAATAGATTAAATCAATCTTTTGGAAGGCCACAAGCTTCTCTTTTTGACATGGCAGATCAGATTGTTCAATCACCAAGGCAAGGAAGACAAGACCCTGTGATTTCGCAGGAGACATCACAAAAAAGGTAAGAGTAGATATCCCTGATTTCGATGGAAGAATTGATCCTAAGTATTTTATGATTGGCTCGCTACTTTGCAACGCTATTTTGATTGGTATAATATGACTGATGAGAGAAAAGTTAAGTTTGCTATCATGAAACTTGTTGGACAAGCCCAAGTGTGGTGGACAAGAGTCGAGCATGACCTTCGACTTGCTGGACAACTAGACTTGACATGGGAAGAGATGAAACTGCATTTGAAGAGAAAGTACGTGCCTCTACATTATGAAACTGATCTTTTTGATGATATGAATAGCTTAAGGCAAGGAGAAATGACAGTTGCTGAATATATGAATAAGTTTGAAGAGCTGAAAATTCGCTGCGGAGGCACCGAAGGTTCAGCACAAGCTTTATCCAGATTTAAGTTGGGTTTGATACCTGAAATTCGCAAAGAGTTGATGGGACGTGACATCTACACAGTTGATAATGCATTCCAAGCAGCTCTTAGACTTGAAAAGAGCCTGCAGCAGCCACTACTTAAGATGTTCAACACTCAAGGTGGGGGGGTTAATTCCTAAAAGATTTGCTGCAAATGGCAAGTCATATAAATCAGCAGCAACTCAAGCAACTTCCAAGCCTGCAGACTGCAGAGACAAAAACTAAGGCTTCCACAATCGATGAAAGAAACAAGAACAAAGATGGATGTTTCAAGTGTGGTTTGAAGGGACACATGGCATGGGAGTGCCCGAACAAGAGAAACTTGCACATTGGCGCTGATGTCGGAGATCAGGAAAATCTAGAGGTGAAGGAAAATGAAGGTACTGATTATTTGACTGAGATAGCACAACTTAATGTTGATGATTTGGAAGAGGAAGAAGAAGACACATCTTATCTCTCGGTTGTGAGGCGTATCCTTAGTGCACCAAAGTCACAAAAGGAAGACTGGCGAAGAACTTCAATCTTTCAAACCTTGGTTTGCTGTGGACAAGACACTAGCAAGCTAATTATTGATGGTGGCAGCAGCATGAACGTGGCTTCAGAGTCTACCGTACAATGGTTAAACTTGCCTACAGAGCCACATCCTGAACCTTACAAGGTTGCTTGGATCAACAGTAGCTCTATACCGGTAACGAGACGTTGCTTGGTGTCCATTAAACATGGACCTTACAGCGATACTATATGGTGTGACGTTATTCCAATGACTGTTTCCCACATGCTTCTTGGTTGACCTTGGCTATATGACCGAGATGTGTATCATAATGGAAAGTCGAACACTTGCTCATTCAAGTTTTATGACCAGCAGATTGTCTTAAAGCCAATGAGTACTGAAACTATGAAGAAGTTTCACGAGAAGAAACCAACCAAACAAGAGAATTCAAGAGTTAACGAAGTGATCGAGACAAGGAAGAAGCCTTTTCAAATTTTGAGCAAGAAGCAATTTGAAAGGGAGAGCAAGGAGCAAGGAGTTATTATGGTATTAGTCTTCAAAGAGGTGAAAATTTCAGCAATTGTCAACTCTGAAGAAGTGCCTCCAGAAATTCTCAAATTGCTGTCCGATTTTTCTGATGTAGCTCCTGAAGATTTGCCGCATGGACTACCACCTATGCGTGATATCCAGCATGCAATAGATTTCATACCAGGCTCTCAACTTCCTAACTTGCCTGCCTGTCGCATGAACACGAGTGAGTCTGCTAAACTTAAGAGACGAGTGGATGCTATTGCACAAAGGACATATTCAAATCAGCTTAAGTCCTTGTGTAGTGCCGGCTTTATTGACTCCAAAGAAAGACGGAACCTGGAGAACGTGTGTAGATAGCCGTGCAATCAACAAGATAACAATCAAGTATAGGTTTCCCATACCTAGACTTGATGATATGATTGATATGATCGCTGGTTCAACTATCTACACTAAAATTGACTTGCGAAAGGGATACTATCAAATCAGAATTCGTCCGGGTGATGAGTGGAAAACAGCCTTTAAGACGAAGGATGGACTCTATGAGTGGCTAGTGATACCGTTTAGCCTCTCTAATGCTCCCAGTACCTTTATGAGATTCATAACACAGATATTTCAGCCCTTTATTGGCCGCTTTTTGGTTGTCTACTTCGATGATATCTTAATTTACAGCAAGAACAACGAGAAGCACATTAATTATCTTCAACAAGTAATGAGAGTTCTTCGTCAAGAAAAGTTCTATATCAACTTGAAGAAGTGTATTTTCATGGCTCCTAATGTTGTATTTTTGGGTTTTGTTGTTTCAAATGAAGGGATAGCTGTTGATCTGGAAAAGGTGGAGGCCATAGCTGGCCGATTCCTACTAATTTGAAGGAGGTTCGCAGTTTCCATGGGCTAGCTTCATTCTATAGGCGATTTATTCGGAGGTTTAGCTCTATTATGGCTCCCATCACTGATTGCATGAAGCAGGGGCAGTTTCAATGGAGATGGTGACAGAGGTGGTAATACTAGAGTATTCCAATTCCAAAGGACGCATCCAATGGACTAAGCAGTAAATAGAGGAGAAACAGTAAACAGTGATCAGTATCTATGGTTTCGCAGTAGCATTTTCCATGTCCGTTGACACTCCATTAACGTTTGAAATATAGTAACAAATCCAGTAGAATACCGCTTATCTCCAATCTCCATGCACCTATCAACCCCCTATCGGGGCCGAATACCAAAATAATAGAGATGGTAACAGAGGTGGTAATATTTGAATATACCGATTCCAAAGGACGCATCCAATGGACAAAGCAGTAAATAGAGGAGAAACAATAAACAGTGATCAGTACCTATGGTTCGCCAATTTTCTCGACCAAACCCTTGTTGGCTCGATTCGACCAATGAACCAATAGGGGTTTAGGATCCCAGGCAGATATCAAGTCATGCACATTCACATCAATACACTTTTAAACAAGATATCAAGAACTCAGTTAAGTTAGGTCAAGTGCGATAAAGTACACACTCGCCTAAGCAGTAATAAGTCAGTTCAAGCAACAAGTCATTTTTGAACCACAAGTAGCATGGACTATGCAGTTGAAACACTCACCAGTTCAAAACAGAGCAACGATAACATTCGTCTCCAAGTGGCTCTCGAATACCATCAAACCCTAAGAGCAACCAAGGTAAAAGATATTTATGATCCAACTATCCAAAACTTAGGTGAATGAAATTCATATTTTAGACTCAACTATGGGTCATACACCTATCCAAGTTAGCCTCTCAAAACACAAGGGTTCAAAGATAAATTTAGAAGTGCAATTCAAGGAAAATCCAATTACATACTAGGGCAATGATTCAAGTATAGTTTTGGAACGAAAGGAAAGCATTTGGACTCAAAAATGTAAATAGCCAAAGAGTTCCACATTTCACTTCATTGCTAGAAATTTCCAGCAGCAAAACAGTGAAGAAACCAGGGTAGTTCACCTCATTAAATTATGATATTCACTCCAATTCAACAAATCATTATAGTTCAAGGTTTTAGCAAGTAAAATGAGCAAGATTGAGTCCAAAAGACCACCAAACCAAAGGACTTTAAGGCTAAAAGACGGCAAGGCATACTACTGCCCTGCCTACCAAAAATTTCAGCAATGAAACAAACACAATCATGAGGTTTTCACCTTCCAAAATTCATAGTTTTCAATCAAGTTCAACATACAAAAGTCTTAACTAGTGTTTGGAACAAGATTTGGCCTCTTAAAACATAAAATTCAAAGACAACTTGAAAGTGTTAATCGAAAAATATCCAAGTGCAATCTAGGCAGTAATTCCAATAAGTTATTAATATGAAAAGAAAACACTTGGATTCAAAAGGTGCAATAAACCAAAAAAGGAAAATTATATATATATATATATATATAACTCATGAAACTTAGCAAGACATACGTAAGACATATGCACCATTATTAGAAGAAACAACCAACCTCGAGTCTAAAATTGGACAAACAAAACTAAAGAGCATGATAGAAGAACCACTACTTTTCCTTTTGCTTTACACACGGTTTTGTCAAAATTTTAGCTTATACACCACCAACAAAATGAACTCAAGCAATCACATGTAACCTAAGTCCAAACCAACCCAAAATCACCCCTCTAACATTACTTATTCCACAAGAAATAAAGTAAATAAAATTTCAGCAGCACTTCCTCTTATTTTCTTAACTTTTCATCCTAACTCAACACCTATATTCATATCAATCCAACTTCAATCACAATCACAAGTTATAGGTTATAAAGTACACTTGTTTAAGGCCACAAAACCATCCAAAATAGTCAATTTTCTAGCTCAAAATCAACCACAACAAAGCCGAAATTTGAAACCCTAAGCTGAAATTTTCAACTACAAGCTGAAATTTTCTATAATCAAGCCAAAATAACATATAAAATGTAGAAAATTCACATGGCAAAGCTACTAGATCATATCCAAACTCAAACCATCATGTCTAAGCTGAAATTTCTCACTTAAAGCTGAAATTTACCAATCACTACTTAAACCATAAAATTTTCCATGTAAACTACCAAAATCAAACCTTAAATCTACTCATTTGTAAGTAATAAAAGAAAAGAGGGCTTCTTGATATAGTTACCTTAATACCCTAAGAAGAAATGGAAACCAAGTGCTTCTTCCTTCCAAATCCCTCCACCAAAGTCCTTAATCCTCCCAAAAAGTCACTTTTTATGGTTTGGATTGCAAGTTTATGGTGAAAGTTCAAAGATTCAAGCAAGATTGGAAGTTGAAGTTGAAGTGTTCTCCTTTCTTTTCTCCCTCAAGTGGTCGGCCAAAGGAAAGGGAAAGATGGTAGATTTTTGGTCAAATTTTTTGTTAATAAAAGGTTAAGAAAGGTATTAGTCAAAGTCAAAGGTCCAACGCTTTTGTGACTGACGGGATTTTTATATCAATGTAAGTTTAAATCCAATTTTATACCCGTTGACTGCAAGTATACAGGCCGAAAGCATAATGTAGGGTATGTATCGGGTCGATCCCACGAGGAGCAATATTATACAAGTACTAGGCCCTTATTTTTCTCTTTTATTTAGACTTACAATAAATCTGAGCAAGAAAATTATAATGCTATTGTCTACAAATCTGGTTTAATCATTATTAAATGCAAACGGAGAAATTTCACTAAAGATTGAATCTAGAGATGTAGATTCCACTTATGGCATTAACAACACAAATGAATAGATTTACCTCTTGTTATTTTTCTTGTTTAACCAGGGATTCATTTCCAATATTACCAAATCTCATTTTCATGATGAAATGGCCTAGAGCAATATAGTTTTTCCTATTTTCATGGTGAAATACTAGTTCTACTCTGTTTTCCTTCATGAAATGCTAGAAAATCCACTTAAGTGTATCTCTATTTTCATGAACATACAACTTAAGCTTTACTCATGTGTTTCCATTGTTACTGCCAATTCTTATTGAACAATAACAACTATAAACATGCTATTGGTGATCAAGCAATAACAAGTAATTATTACATGCACAAATAGACAAGTTAATACAAGATATAACAAGTGTAAATCACATTCAATTCATATTATTTAGCCATAAGTTTCATCTATTCCCTAGATAAAGAAAATTAGCTACTCATGAATGATTTAACAATCAAACTCACAAGTTTATTAATGCAAAACATCATGAAGTACAAGTATAAGAAAGATAAAAGAAAGCTTAGCCAATTGATGGTGAAGCCCTCCAATTTCTGCTATGTTTTTGTACACGATGATTACAAGTGAAAACTCCAAATGCTTCTCAAAGAACTCCTAACTAGAGAGAAACTAGTTACAAGAAGGATAACTAGCTACGTAAGGTCCTTTCCTGCTTCTCCCTTGTTTTTCTGCATAAAAGTGGTAGAAAGGCATTTTTTTTCTCCTTCATGATTTCAAACACTTAGATTTTGTAAAGGAAGTCAAAAGAAAATATTGTTTTGACTTTCTTTAACTTATTTTGTCTTCCCTTTTTGTTCTAGAAGCATGTGCCACCGAATTCACTCACTCCAAATAGCTGAAAAGTTGTGTGAAAAGTGAGAAAAAACGGCTGTGTCACTTGCACAAGAGAGAGGCAGATCCGAGCCTCGGATCCGAGGGGTGAACAATGATCCGAGCTCGGATCAAGGTTGATCCGAGGCCTTTCTCTAATGATCTGAGCTCAGATCATCTGGCCTCGGATGCATTGCACCAGAAGTACAGACGAGGGCTCAGATCGCCCTTGATTCACACGGATCCGAGCTCGGATCCGTTCTAGTCTTTTTTTCAGTTTTTCACTTCTTTTTCTTTTTCTTCACTTTTGCTCCTAATTTCTTGTGTACTTTATCCTCTAGACGATCCTTACATTTCCTTCATCTAGTGCATGAATTTCATACATCCATATCCTTCACAATTTCACAAAATTAACGCATTAATCCACTCATTTATCAAGTTTTGAACACTTAAACAATATTTAACAATTATCACCAAAAGAGTTCAAATATAGCTTTAATCTTCTCAAAACATACTAAAAATTCATGCCAAACTTGTACAAAATGTATGTTAAATATTCTCTTATCAGTGACAAGTGGCTTTCTATGGTTAATTCTCATCCTATTGTCTGCCAAATGCTAAAATATCTTGCCAACCTCTAATTATCTCTTAGCACCTTATAAAATAATATCCCTTTGCATAAAATTCTTCCTAATCTTCAAAAATTTATCACACATACCTCATTAGTGGGTCCTACTTTCATAATGTACTACGAATTTATCATGCACTAACTTATACAAGAAAAATGGTTAAAAATCTTAACACTCTTATAAAAATATCTAAGAAATTAAGGCATTAAAGTAAAGTAAAGAAAATGTATTCAAAGAAATAAAATAAAATGGTATACAATAAAGAAATTTTTCGGGTCCTTACAATTTTGGCTCTTGTTTTGCTGTAAGTTGCTAGAAATCCTTGAATCCCTTTTAATAGATGAATTTTGGTATAAACATAGAATGCATGTGAGCTTGGCTGCTAAATTATCCATGTGGAAGTTGTGAGTTAAGCAGGTTACGGACAATCATGTTTCACAGCTTTTCATTTGAAATCTTGGGGGAAACTTTTACTAGAAATGTATGAGACATGTCTTATTTCTTGCTCTGCGTGATATATACAATATGTTTACCTTTGAATTTAGTAGAAAGATGATAATTTAGATGGAAAAAGCTTGAAGGAACTACTGGAAACCTGCTTAACTGGCCGAGTGAGGGAGAGAGAGATTTTTTTTAGTTTCTCCACGAATTTTTGGCTACAAAATTTTTTATTTCTATTCAATAAATCTTATAACACATTAATCTTCACATGCAT